TGTGTGGATTTTAAGATGGGAATCGCAATCACTAAACTGAGAAATGTAAAGAAAGGCACTGACTTTCATCATATACACAGTTAACCTTATTTTAACGAGAGTTAAGTGTTGCCGTCCCTACCGGAAGTCGACATTCATTCCATTTCCGGTCACGGGATCTTGTTAGAAAAGATTGCCATTAATGTTGATTGGTGTTTGAGTGATGTATGAATGCGAAGACATTGAGTTGCCCTGGTAAAAGGTTGTTTAATGGTTCACTGGATGATAATTCTATAGGAAATAGTCTATCATTAACATGATTCAATTTACACCTTGATTGCGTCTAGGTCAAGGATTTTACTTTTCTAATTATCTTGTGTGAGGAAAGACATTTCTCAAGCACGTCTCCGTCTGAATGGCACCGTGATTTAATTAAGCACGTTTCTCTCTATGTCTCATTCTCAACTTTGATTTAATAATTTAGTGAGTGACTCAACCCAGGTCGACTCGTTTTACCGAGAAATACAATTCAGATTGTACCGAATAAAAAATGTGTTGTTAGTGCATGGACCTTGTTTCATAATATAAAACATTTGTATATCATTCTGTTTCTTCTGTCAGTCTTCAGAATTATGTTAGGTTATGCCGAGTAGTCTTGCGTTCAGTTGTTAACTGTTAAAGACGCTTTTCTCCATCAAAATAGCATTGACTTTTAAAATTGCACAACAAACCCACTCAGTAAAAACTACTAATAAGTAATATATAATGTCTCGATACATTTAGCTCCCATTCCAGACTTCATTGTTTATCATTGCATTGATAATGATACTTTCTGAAAAAGAAGTAAGGTAACAAAAACATAGCTTTAATGTAGTCTGCGATGGGATCCTATCGCCATTAATAATTCCTTTTACACGAATACATACATATCTAGTAAGCTTCCTACACGTTTAAACTTAAAAAGCACAATAGCACAAAGAGGTTATATCACAGGAATGATGCTGGGGAAATGGGTTCAGTTATAAAACCTGATCCACATTTTCCCATTATGCTTATTTTCCTTTGCATGGAATTCAAAATACCCTACATTTCTTTTCTTGGCCGGATTTATTAAAACGATATAGCGCATTAAGAGAAATAACAATAAATTTAATATCAAACCTTTCTATAGTGTAAAAGAATGCCTAAAGCGCTTGTGATTTTTTTATTGTCTATTTGTAGCGATTAACAACCATGTCTTTGAAAGTTCAACATTTGGGGATAGTTTAATGGTTTCTGGTAATTTCGGCCATAAAGCTGCAGTAAAGTTAAAAGACATTTGTTCTTAAGGAAATTGTTAAGGACATCAGCACTGCACTTTAGTGATGGTACGGAACTGTCGTAAAGCTAAAAAACCTTTGCTCTGAAGGGAATTTGTAAGGACAACAGAACTAATATTTAAAGATGATTACATGATAGCGTGTGATATATCGTTATTCACAAGATATCCTAATCATTTGTTTTTTCTTTTAAGAAATCTTGATGGATGTCATTTTAGATAATCTTAATAATCTTCTCGCTTATTGAAAGATAAAACTAAACTGTCATTTATCACCCATTATTGCACAATGTAAACAGAGATGACCTAATTTAGATGCTCTAAAGTCGAGGCTACTTCCTGAAAGCTATAATAACAATTATTACCTGTCCCAGTTATTACTTTAGAAACAAACGATATTGATCGCTGTCGTACGAAACAATGTCGAATGACACATAAATAGCTGTCTCTACATGGACAATCATAAACAGACGGCGCCATTATTGGTCGTCTGGTAGTTGTAGCCTCAAGCAATGTGTCCATAGAGATGATTGAAAGACCACTATAAAGATTAATTTATAATGATTGTAGGAACGCAGTGGGTGTAAAGCTTTAAAATGTATCTTCAACAATTCTCAGAGGGTCTGACCTATACACAAACACTCAGATTTATATTACTGGTGTAATGGGAAGACTTATTGTTTGTCGTGTGGTAGTGATCTTGCCAGTAGATCTAAGATTTCTAATTATATTACCTGATATCCACGTCCTCTCTTTATTGAGACAAGATATTACAGTCGAGTCGGAATCATAATTCAGTTACAAGCATTTATTAAGTTAATTAATTTGCCATTGTGCCAACTTATCTTCCGCCAAATTACATAATTTTGCTGATATTTCCAGGGTAACGAGACATGTCTCTCCTGTGGCAACTTAGGGCCAGTTCCCCCCAAAACTAAAATAAATCAAAACTATTAAACTTGATAGTAAACCTGATTGATTTGGACGCCCCTGGTACCACTTGTCCACCATAAAACGTAAGAGGCTTACTAGTTGACCAAAGGGTTAGTACAGCTGAGAGAGATGTGTGAATACTTTGCTGATATTACAAAACGCAAAAACTTGAAACCGTTTCATATACTCCTTATGGGTGTAAGTACCCACGATTTAGTATTGATCCCTTACCTGATATTTTAGAAATATACCGCAGCAAATCACTTGTAATTAAGGGCACAGATTTCACTAAAATGTCCATTAACTCAATAGGTGTAGAAAAATAGGACGTACAATTCATTTCAACTCTTTTGTTAGTCTCGCAGAATTATTAAAACAGGTTTAAAACAGTTCAAAAGACACTTTTATTTTTGCAATTATGGCTCATGATAGTGCATTTCATTGTCAAATTTTTGCGAAGTTTAGAAAGTTGCCACCACAGTTTACATGTGATTTACTCCCTGATTTTTGTCAAATCTTTCCATGGACAAGGAAAGGCAAAATGTTTGTCCTTGGAATAATGTGTTCAACAGCAAAGATAAATCCTGATCACTACTCTTCAATTTCTATTTAATTTTCAGATTTCAAAATAGATTTCTCTCGAAAGCAGAAAACAATATCTGGTATTTATGGATTTGCAAAAACAAATTGTAAAAACATGTGGAAGTCTTTGAATATTTAATTTAACTTTCAAGAGATTCAAATAATAAAAGACACATCAGGAATAATATATGTATGGAATATCGAAATGGCTTCATATTTAATATTTGTTTAATTCGCGGATTCCGTCTATTTATTGGCATCATAAAGTTTGTTAAACGCTGAAATTATTTTATGATTACCGTTTTTAGAATAGTTTATGCGTCTGAAGAAACTAAGCGATTCTATTTTGCCCCGGGGTGAGAGAAATATCTTAATAAATCATACTTGTTATTGAATACACAAATTTCATTACATTCAATTAATTCTTTTCATTTGGTCGGACTTTCTTTGGTCAAATTGGAGACTATTTGTTAGAAAGAACTTGTTGAATCGAACTCAAGCGGTTCACTACTAATCAGCTTTCTGTATTTCCAATTTAGTCTTGTTAGAAATTAATATCTTCAACATCGAGAAGCAAAAAGGCGAAATTAATTTGTCTCTTGAGGCTGACTGCTTTCAGTCCAACTTCCCATAAAACCTTCCACTCTATAGTTATTTTTCTCCCCAATCTCAGAATTGGTCATTTTCCTTGTTGACCTTCCATCCATTACTCTACACAGACTTGTCAAATTATTTTTCCTCCAAACTACCCAATTTAACATTCTTTTATATCAACGTTCGGCTCATTTCTCATCGCTTGTCAATCTTTGATTTCAGACCAATCCAATTTTGACTGAGGATTATTCCATTGAAATTGAAAAGCCCATTAGTTTCTACAATCAAATCGAAGGAATTCAATCTCGTTTATTCCTTCTAAACGATGTCATTTTGTTTGCTTGAAATGGTTTTTGATCAACATCTCAGAACGATCAAACTGAATATCAATATAGGTCAAGTAACAAATGACCTGTTTAAGTAATTAGTTTCGATTTATCTCGGATGAAGCCGCTTAATGCGTCTAGTGGACTGACAATCAATGCCTTAATTACATCCCCGGATTCCTATCTTCAAATATTCATCCATTTTATACATTTTCCACTTTTAATGTAAAAGTAAGGATGTTGGTTGATTACCACAATCATTATTTCGTTGATTCTTCAAGCTTTTGGCTAATTTCTTAATTACATTTCTTCATCAGTGAACGTTGTCAGATCGTTTGTCTTCCTCGTCTGATTACAGCATTGGCATCAACACGAGTCAACATTTACAATCAATAGACTTATGTATTGCTCTGTGACCTAGGCCAGTGCTTTCATTGAGACTCGTCTCAATACACCCTAACACAGAAATCGATGACGTTGTGCTCAGATTTAATGACGTTGTAACCACATTTAATGACGTCAATTGTAAACTGTAAAAATTTGAAATGAATAATTAAAGAAATTCATATAATAATATTCTCGGAAAAAAAATACTGTAATCATCCACAATTTCAGTCAGTCGTGAAGCTTTTGAAAATTTAATTCACTTAACGATGATTTATTAGGATGGTTCGGTCGAAGAAAATAAATAAACGTGACTGGTTGGAAAATTGGTTAGATAACGTAATAAATTTATTCAATTAAATCGTCTATTTTGAAGTATTAAGGTTCTAGGGGTATTAAAACAGAAATCCAGTAGACATTTCTTTAGTAATGGTTTGTTTGTGTAGAAACTATCTTTAATACCAATCAAGACTTAAATTAAATTGATTTATTTGATTGGCTGTTAGATGACTGAAATTAAAGTCTAAAATTTTGCTTAATTTCAGGTTCTAATTCTCATTTAAGTTTGCTGTGGTGTGATAGTTTTGATATGCAAGTCTTAAGATGTGATTTGACCACCTGCAAATCACTACGCTATCCTAGCCAATCAAAATCATTCCTTTGACATAGTTATGTGTCCTTGCCAATTTCCCTAGGAATTTGTCAGCCTTTAATGGCCCCAATGTTCAAGAGTCCTGATGTACAAGTGATGAGCAAGTCTTATGATATGATGGTCTTGATGTGCAAGTCTTATGATATGATGGTCTTGATGTGCAAGTCTTATGATACGATAGTCTTGATGTGCAAGTCTTATGTTAAGATAGTCTTATGATACGATAGTCTTGATGTGCAAGTCTTATGATGTGATAGTCTTGATGTCCAAGTCTTATGATGTGATAGTCTTGATGTGCAAGTCTTATGATGTGATAGTTTTGATGTGCAAGTCTTATGATACGATAGTCTTGATGTGCAAGTCTTATGATACGATAGTCTTGATGTGCAAGTCTTATGATATTATGGTCTTGATGTGCAAGTCTTATTATACGATAGTCTTGATGTGCACGTCTTATGATATGATGGTCTCGATGTGCACGTCTTATGATGTGATAGTTTTGATGTGCACGTCTTATGATACGATAGTTTTGATGTGCAAGTCTTATGATACGATAGTCTTGATGTGCAAGTCTTATGATATGATGGTCTTGATGTGCAAGTCTTATTATACGATAGTCTTGATGTGCACGTCTTATGATATGATGGTCTCGATGTGCACGTCTTATGATGTGATAGTTTTGATGTGCACGTCTTATGATACGATAGTTTTGATGTGCAAGTCTTATGATACGATAGTCTTGATGTGCAAGTCTTATGATATGATGGTCTTGATATGCAAGTCTTATGATACGATAGTCTTGATGTGCACGTCTTATGATGTGCAATTATGTTTTGTCTTGATATTCAATGTGGTATGATCTCCCTTTGGTGACGTGTTTTTTTTAAGCATTAAGTCTCTTAGCTATATTTTACGTACTATGTTGATTTGTTTGTTATGTAGGGTATAAAACTTTAATAAGCTTTGTATTATTATTCAATCACCACGACAATAGTTCAATAAAGATGATGATTTTGTTTATTATCAGAAAGACACCAATCCTCTACAAATGGTATTGTATAATCTAACTTTGAACAGGACCTGGGGGACTCCAAAAATGTTGTCTTTTTTAGTGGGTTGGGCTTGGTTCTGGAATTGAATTGTACTTATGTTTGTCGTCGTCTTATGATGTATATTTGCAGCTTTTAGAAATTCTGATGATGATCCAAGAATTGAAATAATAGAAATACGTGTATGTTGTAATACAAATAAGTATACCAAATGGAAGATGAATGGGCCGTCCGAAAGGGTTCTCAAGTTGACAAATCAAGTTGCAGAGTGGTATTAAGTGTTCTAACATTACCCTCGACTACAATCATATTTACCGCCATAGTTATTGGTTTGTTGGTGTGTAAAGAGACGCACCTTACTTTCCGACAACATAACCAAGTTATTTATCATTCCTTACTCTTGGTATCAATCCCTGAGTCTAACACGGGAAACCTGGTGGCTCTAAGTAGCCCATTTACTGATGATGCTCGACCGTGAAATTAACGTGCGTGGAGATTGATTCGCTAAGAACAAAGTCTTAAGTATGATTTTCCATAGGTGTTAAAATTCCAAAGACAATATCATACGTGACTATTTGTCATGCAGAGAGATTTCTACTTTTTATAGAGATTTCTTTTTCATATTTTAAGTGTCTATGATCAAATGGCTGAATAGAATGACTATGAAGTATCTTTAAACCATGGATACCAATGACCGTTACGGAAGTCCAATATAATTGGATGGCCATGATCAAAAGATACCGCTATAATCTGTATGCATATTGTCCCTTGTTCACAACATATCAAAGCCAAATTAACCCCGTGATCCATTTGCTTCATTGGGCACTTTCTGGGATATATAAGGTGGGAATTTTCTTTTGTATGTGTTGGTTCTATGTCTATAAATGTCGCTCTTTACAGCTGTATCGGAAGTTATCTATAATCTCTTCATTTCTGTCTTCAATTATCAACTTCTCTGTTCCCCATCACAATCTATTTACCGCTATGACCATGTTTGTATCCGTTGAGCCCATGATTAATAAAATGTACGTTTACATTTTCTCCCCTCCAAGGGCAACCTTTTACCCTGTCGCGCTATGTGTTCCTCTCTCAATGAACCTCCTTCCTAAACGTACGATTTGTGTGAATATGTATGTCTCAAGAGGCATGGGAGTATCCCCCAAATGTCCACCGTTGTCTTTGAAATGAAATGGACCCCCTCCCCTCCCTAACTCTCCATAAAAGCTACAATATATTAAAGGCTTCAACACGTTATCAAATCACACAAACGAATTAAATTCGCACTCCAGTGAGAATTACGGGGCAATTGGCCTGAATACCGTCACCACAACGGTAGTCAATTATCTTTCAAGTATCCATCATTACCTTTCACACCTGCCTTCAATGACCCCTCCTAGGTAAGGGCAAAGCGTAACAAATTGCCGGACATGGGTCATTATGCATGTCAGCGGGGAGCACTTGAAATATTTACATTTCACTGTTTTTCTTTCAATTAACATGGTAAAGATTCCCCGTTAAGAGTAGAGGATTCGTGATGCCCTGGGCGTTTCTACCTTTCCCCCTTTCCCCCACTACAACGAACTCTTTAAATACAGGACATAGAATGTTAGTAGACTAACCCAAATTGACATTCTTAAGTTCTTGCATATGCCTCACTGTATTTCACCCTCACTCAAGGAACCGGGACAAAAAAACATAAACAGGCCTTCCGAAGCACTCTTCACTGGACACAAGGCAAAACGATAACGAATGTATTGTATCAGGTCATTATTCCATTTGGCATCCCTACACCATAACAGCATGGCAATAGCTCCCTAGAGTGGGGTGATACCTGTTATTGCCACTACGAGTAGGGCGAAAATATCCATTTCATTTTCTACCCGATTGACAATAAGATGTTAACCGGATGTGATTAAATCCTTCATTATGGATACACCATCTATTAGTTATTCAAACTAACACGGATTAAGAGAAAATCCTGCTAAATTATGAAGTTATCTTCTGGATTATTGCTGCTGACCATCGGCTCGAAATGGCGATTACTCCAATGTAATTGACAGCATTTGATTCGTCTTGATTAAATCTGTAGACGGTCCTTGATTTAAAATTAATGTATCGTAATTACTTTAATGCCTACGACCTTTTCCAAGTGTAGACTTATTCAGACAGTTGCGTGTTCTCCAATATACTTCCGTTTGCTCCTTTCTAAACAGGTTAAATCATGTAAATAATACAATAGCCTTTCGATAATGTGGCGAGTACGAAATAGTCATTAAAATGAAATAGTTATACCTCCTACTCTACTCATCACTTGGAATTGTGATGAGTGGTATCGCCATGCAGTGTGCAATCGGCAAATTCATTTGTAATTCAAACTTCTGAAATGTTTTATTCCAGTTTAGAATTGTATATGACTAGTTAGATAATCAAAGGTATAATCTGAATTACGTCGGCTTAAAATGATTATCAATTCTGATCAATAATTTAACTATGAAAAAGACTGATACATATTAATTTTTGTCACAGAAATAGCTGTCAGTTGCGAGAGATTATTCTTTGTATTTTAGATTGCGCGGGAAGTGGCTCATGGTTAATCACGTGACCGTAATCTCTTCTTTTGTTATGCCCCTTTATTCGCCAACTATGGTTTTATCCTTTGTTTCTCAGCTAAAATAAGGGAGCGACATCTGGCGGTGGGTGACTCTTTCGGTAACAGATTGCTTTAATCGTCTTTTAAAAACATATTTCCTTATTTAAGATTAAAGTTTGATTGAATAGATCCTTTGTTAAGTCAACGAATCATAATATGACATGCAATTAAAATTACTTTTCATATTGAACTATCAAGGGAGAGAATAATGTCACGATGACCTCGATTAGAACATAGGCAGACATGCCATTATCAATTCCCATTCATTATATTGAACATTTCATTTGATATTAATTTTCAATATAAAGTCTATGTGGACTTGTTGATCAAAGATAATTAAGTTTGTATAGATCATTATTTCCAACAGGATGACCTATATACCATTAAGTTTATTAATGTACATGTATATTATGTTTATTGTGATGTACTGATCTTCGGGGAATACAATCTTTCTATCGTCATTGGCTGCTTTAAACCCCTCGATAGATGTTAACTTCAAACTGATTACAAAACAAAGTTTATATTCAGTGTTTAATAAAGAGTATAATTTCAATCACAATTCAACCGTCTCCAATCCTAATGAAATTTGGGATTTGTTTCTATTAATGGCATTATATAAACGATTGGTTGTTCGATTTACCAATTAATAAGGCATCCATAGTTCCTGATAAAAACTTATATGACATTCATAGTTCCTAATACCAATCTATAAGCCATCCATAGTTCCCGATATCAATTCATAAGACATCCATAGTTCCCGATACCAACTTATAAGACATCCATAGTTGCTGATTATGAGACATCCATAGTTCCTGATCCCAGTTTAAAAGACATCCAAAGTTCCTGATACCAATTTATAAGACATTCATAGTTCATTATACCAATTTATAGGACATTCATAGTTCCTGATTATGAGACATCCAAAGTTCCTGATGCAGTTATTTAAAACAAAAACTACTGAAAGGCCATATATGTCTTTAAATCGAAATAAAAGTATTTTTTATGTAAATTCCACATTTTGTTATTAAAGAAGTGTGTTATACCATAATATAGTCCCTTGTGTTTTTAGTTACATGTGCTCTTTGCTTCTCTTTTTCGTTCAAATCTTATACTGGCTGGCGTGTATAAAGCTTTATGATTTATATTGCAAATAGAGTAAGTTTAAAAGAAAGAAAACAGTGTTGACTGACCATTAAATTGGGATCAATAACAATTCATCAAACGACTATTAAGAACTTACCAATAAAAACCAGGAATCAAGAAAAACCTCATAAACAGCAGTGACCCGATTTATTTTAAATAGATTACCCTAGTTCGGTGAAATTGATCGCGACGTGTCCGTCCTGGGAAACTTCTTCATCACTCCAAGACACGTAAATTCCGTAGATTCCTTTAGAGTAATCTAACGCCTGTTTCCTTTTCTAGTTTCCGAATGTGTCCTCCTTTGTTCACACAGTTTTGCAGACGAATCTTAGATACAGTTATTATCGATGTTTCCGAAGCTTCTTACCTTTGTTCTTGTATAAAAAGCAGACAAATATAAGATATAGAACAGCACCCAAGAGAACGACACGATTCCATCCATCATCCGTGTAAATTGAAGATGTTCTTTTTCTCTCGCACAAAGAGGACATACTGGTGATAATTGATTTGCCACGTCAGGGAAGTGAGTGTTATATTCTCCAGAATTATTCCTGTCTGGATTGGTATTGAAGTTATAAAGAATCGTTTTCTTTAAAACTTGTAAAATGTCGAATAAATAATTTTCTTAAATCAAAATGCCGATGAAGCATTTATCTTACACTCAGAGTGCAAAGTCCAATTCTATCAGAGGAATCAGAACAATTTAAGTGACATAAAGTGATACCTTTGCCCGAAATACCCTCATGGGCAGCAATAATATTCCCAGAACATAGGTTGTATGTGGCTGAACCATAAAGTTACCCAATGTACCCTTCATGGGTAGCAGTTGATTCCTAGAACTTAAAGTGCGTTCAGACGATCAACCGTTCTTCGAGCCTCGCTTTTTTGTCGTCTTAAGCTGTCTCCACACTTTTGTCGTTTGAACGCACTAATAGATCGTATGTGACTGAACCATAAGGTTATCCAATGTACCCTTCATGGGTAACAGTTAATTTTCAGAGAACATATGTATGAATC